AGACAGGCAGATATTCCTCCTGCTGCACGTTGAGCATGAGCTCGAGGCCGTTGCCGGAGCCCCCCTGCAGCGTGGTCAGGACCTCGCGCCCCGGCCCCCCCGGGTTGAACGTGTAGCACTTCCCCAGGCGTGTGAAGATCTGCGGGGACACAGGGGACACGGGGACGGGGCCTGGGTGACACTGTGGGACCCTGTGAGGACAGGGCAAGATCCCAGTGCCCCTCAGGAGCCAGTGCAGGATCCCAGTGCCCTGGGAAGGGATCCCAGTGCCCCTCAGGACTCAGTGCAGGATCCCAGTGCCTCGGGACAGGATCCCAGAGCCCGCCAGGGCCCAGAACAAGGCCAGAACGGTGACAGTGCCCGCCCCGTGCCTGGGCTGCCGCGACTCTGCAGGGATATTGGGTTTCAGTGAGGCTCCAGGGGACACGTGGGGACACTTGAGCAGGGAGGGCACAAGCCAGGATGGTGATGGAGACTGGGACTCAGTCACAGTAGCAGAGGCCACCGTGTCCCCTAAGAACCTGAGAGCCTGTCCTGGGCCAGCCACCCCAGCAACCCTGGGGACCTGCACCCCCAGCCAGGGACCTGAGGGTGACCTTGAGCCTTCAGGGACTGGCATCCACAGACAGGGCTCCCAGAGTGATCCAGAGGCCCCAGGACTGGCCCTATGGACCCCAGTCCTGCCATACAGCCCCCTGGGGTCACATCCCCCCCTCTGTGGGTGCCCCCTCCCAGTGTCCCATGGGGGGAGGGGGCGTTGCTGTGGAAACGAGCTGCTCCCAAAGTGGGGACCTGTCACCATGGTAACACGGTGCCCAAGGAGGAAAAGGGGGGGCGGGTGTCATGGCAACGACTGCCCGGCATGGGGATGCCTGGGGAGGGTATGGCTGGGGACAGGGACTGGGACATGGCCCTGGCACTTCCAGCCTTCCTGCTTCCCACACGCAGGTCACCCAGGGGCCCCCAGCCCTGCACCCTGGGGACCTGCTGTTCCCACTCTCTGCTGTTCCATCCCTGGACCCATGTCCCCGCACTGCCATCCTGCCCCATCCCGCCGGCCCTGGTGGAGGCAAGAAGGGGGCACAGCCCACCCTGATGGCCCTTGGGCCTTTGCCACGTGCCCAGGGACCTTGGGGACCCTGAGGATGGGGTGGGACGAGGCGCAGGGACACAGTGCCAGAGCACAGTGCCACAGCCCAGGGCAGAGGATCCCAATCCAGGACTAGGCCCTCCAGCCATATGTCCTGCCCCTCGAGCCTGGGAGCCAACGCCAGCACCTGGTCCTGCTGCAGGGGCACTGGCAGAGTGGCTCCAGCCAAGGGTGTGGGGGCACAGGGGCCATGGGGAGGGCACGGAGCTGCTGAAGGGCAGCTTGTCCCTGAGCTCCAGAGAATGAATTGGTGCTCTAAGAGCATTAAGGTGACAGTAATCGCTGGGAACAGAGATGGGCACTAGGCACAGCGGGCACGGGCTGCCCAGCATCCGCAGCACACTGCTGCAGTATGAGGGATGTGCCTGTCCTGCCTGTGCCACCGTCACTGCCCGTCCCACCGTCCCTGCCTGCCATGCATGTGCCATGATCCCAGCTAGTACCACTGTCCCTGCCCTGCTCTGGGGGCAGTGGTGGGGCCAGTGCTTTCACAGGGACCCCCACCTGTGCCAGGTGTGGAGGAGCTGCCCCTGGGAGCCTCTGTGCCAACAGCCAGGGCAGCGGCTGCTGCTGGCAGTGCCCAGGTGGTACCTGGAGCTGGAACGGGGGAGTGGAGCTGGGGGCTGTACCTGTGAGCACCCTGTACAGGTGAGCACCCCAAAGCTGTGAGCACCCCATACCCGTGAGCATCCCGCACCCACCACCACCCCATCCCGGTGCCTGCATGCCAGCAGAGCCCCAACCCTGCACAGAGCCCCCAGCACAGCCCCGCTCCAGCCTGGGCAGCGTTCCCAGCCGCCTGGCACCCCTGCAGCGTGCAGAGCAGGGACACCCCTGGCTGGCAGCCGCTGCGTCCAGAGGGGTGGGCAGGGGCTGATGGTGTTCTGGGCGGGGGGATGCACCGGCCAGCCAGAGAAGGGGCTCACCCGCAGGTGCCTGACCTTGGCAGGACACCCAGGTCCCTCTGCAGTGCCCAAGAAGGTGGGCAGGGGCTGATGGTGCCATGGGTGGTGAGATGCAAAAGTGGGATGGAAGAAGGGGCTCAGCTGCCAATGCCCAACCCCGGCAGGACACCCATGTCCTTCCACAGCCCCGGGGGCACACGGGGGTCCCCTCCCCATCCTCGCTGTGCCCACGTGCATCGAGATGGGAGGAGGAGCTCACCTAGGGGTGGCCAACCCTGGCAGGACACCCACGTCCCTCCACAGCCCCGGGGACACACGGGGGTCCCTGCCCTGCCCTCCGGGCACTCACCACGGTGAAGTTGCGGGCGGTGCAGCCGGTGCCACGGAAGGTGCACTGCAGCAGCATCTCGGCCAGGTCGTGGCCCGTGCGGTTGTAGAACTCGGCCATGCTGAAGGGTTTCGCCTTGAAGTTCTTGAAGTTGGCCTTGTCCCTCAGGGCAGCCAGGACGTGGGGCTCGGCCAGCTGCGGGTTGCTGATCTCGTAGCGCTCGTTGAGCAGCGCCAGCAGCTCGCCCACGTGGTACATGTCGTTGCGGGTGATTTTGGAGAAGCGGAACTCGTTGAGGTTGCAGATGGTGATGGCCGGGAAGGTGAGGTTGCGGGCGGCCACCTCGTCCAGCTTGGTGACGTGGGGGTAGGTGAGGAAGTAGGCGACGCGCTCGGCACACACGAGCAGCAGCAGCCCCAGCGAGCCCAGGAAGAAGCCGCCCCAGAGCACGCGGCGCAGGGACACGGCCCCGTAGGCGAAGACGTG